GGACTACACCTCATTCCTTTGTTTCACATTATATACATCAAGTGGCTGTTTCTTGTTTGGTGGATTTTCCAGTCACCATTTTACATACTGTAGTGTCATTATGACTGGTCTGTACTATGTATTGTTATTTCTTTATTTACAAGGACCTTTTTGCTAGTGTATTGTGGATCCCACTCTGTGACAAGTGGTGCCTGACCAGGTATAATTTTTTTTTTGAAAATCTGTGCTGTCCATCCTGTGACCATGCTCGATGTCAGTTATGTGGTAGCTCTTGCTACCTTGGACCTTGGGTAAAATTCCAGATGCTGCCATATGTTGGTTGTGTGTCTCCATTCAGTTGTCATCTATGCTGAAACAATTATGTTGCATGATTAGGTTACACACACTGTAGAGATGGGGTGTTCCATAGGACCACTATTAGTTCTCTCTAGTGATATTTTGCTTCATAAATATGTTCATCCCAGACTGTACATTCGTGGACACACATGAGTAAAGCAGACAGGATTGCTGCCCATCTCTGATGCTCCATGGTGTTGAGACTCTTGCTACCATGGACCTAATATACAATTTCAGATTCTGCCAAGTGTTGGTTGATTGACTCTGTCAACATGGTAGCTCTGCTTTTCAAAATAGGATATCGTGATCACTCATTGCAATGACTCAAATGATGCAGTCCTCCAGATTCTCCAACACATTTTCCCCTCCTTTCTTCTAGTGGAGTATGGGAGTCCTTGCCATGTAACAGTTCCTAGCCACTGTGGTCATGGACCATGGAGGTCTGTCCTGCTGAGTGATGCATCATACCACTCAGCTGAGAGTAGGGTGGTGTCAATAGCGTATAGCACTTCCTATCGTGGACCTGATGTACAATTCCAGATGCCACAGGTTTTGATTGTAGCACTACACCATAGTCATATATCTATATATGGCAGATTGCTTTTTCCCACCATGGCATTCCTCCTTCATACCATCCTCTGGATGTACATTCCCTATAGGTATTTGTGGCCAGTAATTATGAAAAAAAAGCACAGCTGCTCCTTTTATTTCTAATTTTACAACTTGTTTTTTCATTATACTTTCGGTATTTGTCTACAGGCTGAAGACTCAAGTATATCATTAAGTAACTGATAAGATATAATTTTACTGAAAACAAATGTTTGAAATGTATTTAGGAAGTTTTGAAAAGAAATTTGAAATTTTGGGGATGAAGAATAGTTTTTAATCCTAACATAAAAATCACTTCCACTCGGAGTAGTAATGAAACAGATTTGATATATTCAAAAACTCTTTAGCAAAAATACTTCATTAAAAATTTGATTTATAGTGTTCAAAAGACTAGTAATGTTTACTAAAGGTATACCAAATTTTGTGAAGATGCACTTACTGACTTAAAAGTTATAGAATAAAAACTTAACGTTTGTATTACAATACAGACTCATATATAATACCGAGCCCATTGTGAAAGGGTTAATAGGTAATACGTATTATGGGATTTCATCATATTTTTCTGTTAGTGTCATAAAAGAACAAAGATTATAGCTCAGAAATGGTGTGGAGCTGCTGAGGTATGCTATTTTCTTTTTTGGTTCCACACCTCATGGTCTCTCTTTGGGAGCTTCCTAAAGGAAGATCATTTTTTTTCACCAGTTCAACGTGGGATTCTAGCGTTATTTTTTGAGAAGAGGTAAGATATTGTATTGGAAGTTAACACTTTTCTAAACTGAAAATGTATTTCCGATGGATACTTACTCTTCTCACATTTCCAACCCAGCCTCCCCACTTTGGGTGATATGTGGTGTAGAATCTATGATCAAACTCAATGTGATTAAGGAGTGCAAATGTGCATTTTGTTGTCTTTCCCTTCTTCTCATATAAAAGTAAAACAAGTTTTAAAATGGTGCATAGCATAAGGCAAATAGTTTCAGTTTACTTTCCAATATAATGTAAAAGATGGGCTTGAGCTTGGGGTAAGACAAGTTCCATTCTTTGTATAGTAGTGTTTAAAGCTTCCTTAGCTTCCAATATGTACTTTCATAAATACTTTCTTTCCTAGTGGGACAGTGATAAGTCAATTCCCCGTAGTGGATAAAGCAGATAACCCAATGTGGCTTTGCTATAAAACAAACAAACATAAATAACTTATATGCTCCTATAGACATAATTGCTTGCCTCCCTACAGACTCTATGTATCCCCCAAGGAAGGTGTGCCTCACAGTTTGGCACTACAGGTAAAAGGTATTCCACTTATGACAAGGGTCCAAGTGGTCTGGACTCCATTATTACTATCTATCCAGGCATCATTTACTGTGCATGTCACGAGGTTTTAGTTCTTAAATGTTCTTAAACTACTTTTTGTTTATGGTATACCAATTGTAGCTAATAATCCATATGTTAATAGTATATAAGTTGTAAGTTCTTAATTTCATAATGCAATATTTAAAAAAAATCCTGAATTTCCCCTAGTGTGAGAAAGGTGACAAATTTTCTGTAGGCATCCCATCTACCCTATTTTATTCACCACCACCCTCTCCAGTAATTACGAAATTTATCGTAAATTACTCACGATAAAATCGTCATTGCTCAGACAAATGATAATCTTTATAGCTTTCAATTTGTTTAGTTACAGAGCCATCAAAAAGAAAATCAGACCCCTCTTGCCACACCTACATGTCACATCCTCTCTTTCAGGATTTGTTAATAGTTCTCTCTTACGTTTAATTCTATATTATCTATAACCAAAAGAAAGCCATGTTTTTCATCTATCAAATGTCATATTACATTGGATTCTGAACAGAGAATTGTCAATTTCTCTTTTATTACAAGTTTCATTCCTACGGGAAAGAAAATGACTTGCTTGGATGAATTTGTAATGGGTCTTATCAAATAGCTAGAAAGCCAAAAAAATTGTGATAGTTAGAGAAAATTGTCTGCTTTCTGTATGTTATTATTCTGTGTTCTTTGGTGCATTATTTAATTTAATATAAATTATTTTGTGCATTACTACTATTAGTATAAAATAGTTGGGTTAAGTGTCATCGACAGTCAACAGAGAAAAAAAAAAAGCAAGGATAAGTACTTTATTTCTTGTTTTTCACGTTTATTCTTTATTTATTATTATAAAAGTAACTAAAATGTAAAAATAGGGATCTCTTTAGGTTAGATTAGGTAAAATAAATAATAATGTAATACAAATATTTTATGAGGCATGCTCAGAATAGTTTGTGGGTAATGTAATTCGAAAGTGTAATGTGAGCTGCACTTTCCCCAAGTGATTTACAACTTATAATGGCACAAATAATAGTTAGACATGGTTTAAAGGTCAATCAAATTTAATTATATATAGATGCATACTGTTATGAGTTTAAACCCACTTAGGATAAACAACTGTCATTTCATGTTATAATTTGAAGTCATTCTGGAAAGACAAAAAGGGTAATTTAGGTTTATTTCGATTTTTTATTTTTTTGGGTGGTTACGAGGCCAGTCGAATTGACCGATCCTGTTTTGAGATAGGGTAAAGAAAATAACAGATAAACTATAAAGTTTTATTGAAAAAAAAAAACGGTTGAAATGCATTTAGGAGGTTTTAGGAATTACACAAAGGAAATTTAAGATGAAGAAAAGTATTTAATTTTAACATGAAAATTACTTTGCACACGGACTATTCAAAACAAATACTCAATGAATTCATAGACAAATCTTTGTTTTATTTCATTTAAAATACTTCACTAAAAAATAAGATTTTTTTTATGTGAAAGACTTGTAATGTTAACTGAAAGACTGCCAAATTTCATGAAGATATACACACACTATATTGAGAGTTATAAGTATTAAATCTATAAAGACTTTAAACGAGTACAAAAAGGTCACGTGGTCGGTCAAGTTGACTGAGTCCGTATTGAGAGAGTTAATGAGCTAAAATAGCTACTGTTTTGTCATCTAAAGTTCTTTTATGAAAAATCAGCAAAAGTTAATGAATAGAATGAAAGAAGGGGCTGATGATATTACTGACCCCGGGTCCTGGTCTAGCTCTTGATACCCCAGGTTAGAGATACAGTTTAAATTTTCCATAGGGTTGAACTTCTCTGCCAGAGGGCACCATTAACTTGTGTCAAGATGAATAATAAATGGTAAAGGACAAGAAAGGAAAATAAAACATTAAAAATTAACTATATGTGAAAAGAAAAAGACCCAAAATTATGAATATAACCAAGAAGATCTTTAAAAGCATTCTATAAAAAATGTACTTTTTCTATTTCCTAATTCTAATAACTTCATTGCATTGTACGTTGATGATAATGGTAAGAGTTAGTGATATGGTATAGAAAATGAGAAACAAAATATAAACATTTACCTTAAAAAACTTTTGATATTCATTTAAGAGGTTCTAGAGGTTATGTAAATGAAATATGAAAACTATAAGATGAACAAAAGTATTTTTATACTTAATGAAAATCACCTTATACTGTTAACTATCCAGAGTTTGAGAGCAAATAACTACAATACATAAATAACATATTTTTATTAGAAAGACATAATTAAAATAATGACATTTTAGTGTACAAGATACTTATCATCTTTAACAAAATACTACCAGGTTTTTTGTGAGAGTTACCATATGTATTGTTGCATAAATGTCCTTCCCCAGTCGAGGTGATGTGAAATGTATCACACCATTACAAAAGGGTTAAAGGATTTCACTGTCAGTTGTTGGTCCATTTTGTTGACATTTCAACAACCAATACACCCGAAGAGCTTGTGACTTGAACAATGTTTCAGCACACTTGCGTTTGCCCTTATCGATCTAATGAACTGAAACAAAAGAGTTGCAAAATGCTATTCAGGTCTCACACCAGGTAGTTTGTCCAAGACAAAGCATACAGCATGAAGCTGTATCCTGGTCTGTTTACCTAACTACAGAAGCACAAAGTTATGAAGAGAGATCCTATGTTTAGTTACAACTATATGAATCAATGAATCTACATTTCTTTACATCGTACCTGAAGTTGTCCCAGTTCACTTGCTACTAGAGCTAAGGTTCCACTTGGATGCCAAGATATTTGTTGAACTGCCTAAAAGGAATAAAGACAAAATATATATATAGTGTAAAAATAATCCCAGAATTAGATAATGTGGAACTAGATAACACACACACCTATAAAACTATTAAAACACTTCGGTGTCCCTTTTCAGTTATGTCAACAAATACATCAGATTATAAAATTTCTGAATACAAAAAAAGTCTAGTGTATAACAAATACATAGTTTTTTGGTGAGTAAGTATATGCATATGGGCCTGACATGGCCTGGTGATTAGAGTGCTCGACTTGCAATCTGAGGGTTGCAAGTTTGAATTCCCAGCACCAAACATGCTCGTCCTATATGGTCAGGAACTGGGCCAGTCACCTGAGTGTAACAATTCTTGCCTTAAAAAAATACTAGCCAACCTCAAACTAGTTGGGACTAAGGTCATAAAAACAAAACAAAACAAACAATACATGCATAAGACATTTACAGTCATGAAATTTCTGTGAATAAATAAAAATATATTTGGTACTATATTTATAAGAATAACTAATAAACTGTTCTATTTTTCTCTGATAAAAGTAGAATAATTTTTCAGATTATGCTTGTAATAGTATCCAATGGTGGCATAATAATAACTTACTATCACAGTAAGCTATGTAATAAAAATTCACAGGGCTTTAAACTATACATTTTAGAACACAAAACTTATATAAGGCACTAAAACAGGATATCCCCAAACTACTATAAGTTAACTGGTTTTCTAACTAAGCTATAAATAAGTTAAAATATTTCTATACGTGCTTGAAGCAAAGAACTACAATTGCCAAAACAAACTACTTCTGTTAACTAAAGATTTATGTGAGAAGTCTAAACGATAGCTATCTAAGGTTTCTATACAAAAGACAATGCTCTTTCTGTTGGTTATAAACATGTTCATCAGTCTTGTAAGGACTATTAGCAAAGAGTATTAAAAAAAAGACAAGAAGACCTCAGTAAATCTAGAATGTTTGAGGTTCAAGTTTTTGATTTATCCTTGTAATTGTCTGTACTTTGTGTTTTTGAAAGCACATTAGGAAAGATATAACATCTTTTGAGGGAAAATTCAGAGCACAGATGCATCATGTGACAGGTAAGTGAAGACTGATATTTTTTTAATATTTTCTTTCTAAATTAATAAATTAAAAGTTAGATAATATAAAAATCTGAATTCTAAACTGTTTTGATGTCAAGTTTACTACCATAATTTGAAAACAAATTTGCTGAATTAAATTTTGAATGAAACTGTAGAAGGTTGTTACATATGCACTTTGACCCACTTGTAAAGAGGTAAATGAAAGCTCACTCTACAGCTGTATAAAAGCCATGTAATAAAATATAGAAAGATTAAAACTATTAACAACAAAAATAGTCTTTTTTATACAAAACAGACATATCTGAAAACATTCAAAATTCTATCCTTAAAGTTCTGATATACTTCAGAAACTTACGTGCTTAATCAAGTGTTTATGTTAAAAGCCTATAACTCTGAGATATCAGGATATTCAAAACCCTATTCTTAAAGTTCTGATATACTTCAGAAACTCACGTGCTTAATCAAGTGTGTTTATGTTAAAAGCCTATAACTCTGAGATATCAGGATATTCAAAACCCTATCCTTAAAGTTCTGATATACTTCAGAAACTTACGTGCTTAATCAAGTGTGTTTATGTTGAAAGCCTATAACTCTGAGATATCAGGATATTCAAAACCCTATCCTTAAAGTTCTGATATACTTCAGAAACTTACGTGCTTAATCAAGTGTGTTTATGTTAAAAGCCTATAACTCTGAGATATCAGGATATTCAAAACCCTATCCTTAAAGTTCTGATATACTTCAGAAACTCACGTGCTTAATTAAGTGTGTTTATGTTAAAAGCCTATAACTCTGAGATATCAGGATACTCAAAACTCTATCCTTACAACCTAATACTTTAAAAAACACATATGCTTAGCATGTCTCATTAAATGTTGTTAAACCCTACAGTTGTGACAAGTTAATCAAGTGTGCTTATATCACGAATGAACAAGTTTCATGATTGGAGAAGAATCATAAAAAGATATATTATACTTACAAAGTTTAACGTTGTTATCCTTGTTAAGTGTCGATAAGCATCATATATAACCTGTAAAAATACAATTACAAGTCAGTACCTGACAGTTAATTTTCTCAAACAAATACAACCAATAAACTATCTGTTATATATCAGTACATCTTATCTGTAATACATTAATTACAGTTCAACATCATATATTACCAATAAACCATCAGTTATACATCTGTACATATTATCTGTAATACATTAGTTACAGTTCAACATTATATACTACCAATAAAACATCAGTTATACATCTGTACATCTTACTTGTTATACATTAGTTACATCTCAACATCATATATTGGTTATACGTCAGTACATCTTCTCTGTAATACATTAGTTACATCTCAACATCATATATTACCAATAAACCATCAGTTATACATCTGTACATCTTATCTGTAATACATTAATTACATCTCAACATCACACATTACCAATAATCCATCAGTTATACATCTGTACATCTTACTTATTATACATTAGTTATATCTCACCATCATATATTAGTTATACGTCAGTACATCTTCTCTGTAATACATTATTTATACAGAGGACTATTGATAATCTATGATAACAATTACACAATGCTATGACTCAAGTGTAGCTCCGACAGGAACATTCCCAGCCCCACCTTAAACTTCAGTAAATTGCTAGAGTGCTGATTGTGAAATATGTAGAGTTAATTTTCATGTAACAAGTATTATCATCAACACAACTTACTGCTCAAGTGTAGAGCCAATTCTGTCTGAGCATTGCATTAATGTACATTTAAAAACAAAACAGTATCTCATGCATTACATCTCCGATGTTACTGTTACATTCACTGAGATGGGTGTGTTATTTTTACTTACTACTGTAGAGAAACTGTGATGCAAAAGTATATGATTATACATTTATCTATGAGTCAGTTAAATCAAGCTTTGGTTCAAATACAACCCTCCCACCTCACCCCCTGTCCTTCAAATTTTCAGAAGGTTTGGTGTCAATTGAACACTGTGCTACTCTGGTCTGCAGTAACACAGACTAAAAGTCATGCCCCTCTTTTTGTAATTGAAATATGATGATTTGCAAATTGCATATAAAATTACCTTTACGGAGGAATTACATTCTACTGTTTTCTGAGATAATGTTTTCCTATTTTGCAATTATATAACCATACAAGGGTAAATATTTTAGTGCTTTAACAGGATATTTGCACGTCGAACCAGGTCAGTAAAGCATACTACCAGTCATGCAACAGAGGTAGTGAAAATGTTAAACACCAAATGTAGCCCAAGAGCACAGAAGTCCATTTCAGCTGAGGAAGGAATTTCCCGTGGAACTGGAAACAAAATAATTCCCATAGATTTGGATCTACAACATCACATGAGAGTCACGTTCACAAGCTTTTCCCAAAAAAACCTGGCTTGAACTAGTGGTTTATGGCAAATAAGAAATGAAAATATAACATGCAGTAGTCTGGGCAATATATTATAGTCCTCCTGATGATATGGCACTTCAAAATAATTCCACATATCAGTTCTCCTGCAAGATGCAAGTACAAATGGGAATTCACGTTATACCATTCACAGACATTTCCCATGGACATTCTGGGCCTTTCATTTGCTCAAATGAATTCTTAAAGAGTCATTTTTTGTGTACTTAAAAAGGTATGTATAGAAGAAAGGGCAACATTGACCTCAGTGGAGAGAAATAGTCCACAGCCACAACACAAAACATCACTGAGGGATTGTTAAGCCTATACACTCACACTTATATTATTACTATAGATTATACATATTGTTCTAAAATTCCAATGGAATCTACTTCTTTATACAAAGCTGGCTTACCAGAGAACGATCGGAACAGCTTAAGAGGAGTTTGTCTTCTGCAGGACTCCACTGAGCCGATAACACATGTTCTGTCACAGAAAATACAGTACAAGCACTTTTATTACAAAAATATACAAAACACTAGCTATAACTACATGAAATGTTTTTGATTTCAGGAAAACTTCCAAAACTACTGAAGTGAGAATAATGAAAGGTTTAGTGGTCAGCAGGCATCAAGGGGAGCAGAACAGAATAATATTTTAGAGCAACTGTTTTCATCTTTATACTCACAGAAAAGAGAAACAGCTGTTTTACTTTTTATACTCACATAAAACAAAAACAGCTTATACAGATTTATACTCATGGAAACAAAAACAGCTTATACAGATTTATACTCATGGAAAACAAAAACAGCTTATACAGATTTATACTCATGGAAAACAAAACAGATTATACAGATTTATACTCACACAAAGCAAAAACAGATTATACAGAGTTATACTCACACAAAGCAAAAACAGATTATACAGATTTATACTCATGGAAAACAAAAACAGCTTATACAGATTTATACTCATGGAAAACAAAAACAGATTATACAGATTTATACTCACAGAAAGCCAAAACAGCTTATACAGTTTTATACTCACACAAAGCAAAAACAGCTTATACAGATTTATACTCACACAAAGCAAAAACAGCTTATACAGATTTATACTCACACAAAGCAAAAACAGATTATACAGAGTTATACTCACACAAAGCAAAAACAGATTATACAGATTTATACTCACGGAAAGCAAAAACAGCTTATACAGATTTATACTCACGGAAAACAAAAACAGCTTATACAGATTTATACTCATGGAAAGCCAAAACAGCTTATACAGATTTATACTCATGGAAAGCCAAAACAGCTTATACAGATTTATACTCATGGAAAGCAAAAACAGTTTATACAGATCTATACTCATGGAAAATAAAAACAGTTTATACAGATTTATACTCATGGAAAGCAAAAACAGCTTATACAGATTTATACTCATGGAAAGCAAAAACAGCTTATACAGATTTATACTCATGGAAAGCAAAAACAGCTTATACAGATTTATACTCATGGAAAATAAAAACAGTTTATACAGATTTATACTCATGGAAAATAAAAACAGCTTATACAGATTTATACTCATGGAAAGCAAAAACAGTTTATACAGATTTATACTCGTGGAAAACAAAAACAGCTTATACAGATTTATACTCATGGAAAAATAAAATATTGCTTCACTTTATCATTTTTATGGTAAACATTATTAAAATTACTAAAACATGAACATTCCTACTATATCTGTCTTAATGATCCCAAATACTTTTTTCTATATAATATGGATCATCTTGTTACCTTTAACAGGCAAAATTTTATTCTTTTAATATGCACAGGATAACTTATTTTTCACATGCTATAATAAGATGTTTTTGGTACATTTATAGTTAATAAAAAATCATTGAGATAAATATTAAAAGTTTATTCTCACCTTCAAGGGGAATGGAGGTCACAGATATTTGATGAAACTAGAAAATAATTTAAAAAATGAAATTTAAATCAATCTATTAAAAACAGAAACTCTATAAGCACAATTCCATACATTAGATAATGAAGTCGGTTAAATTCAAACATTATTTTTATCTGAGAAAAAAAAAAGCAAGAAAAACATACAACACTCAGACTCTAATCAAAAACTTGCTTTGGTTCTGTACATTGTTACTACTTGCACCTTGTCACACATAGCCATCCTTTCTTAAATACTGGCAGGACCAACAGAGGTCATAACCCACATATGCCACCCCCCTCACTTAAAGCAGGGCTCCTGATTCCCAGCTGCTGTTGTTAAATGTGTTCCATTACATCTAAACAAAAATATAAATCATTTCATTGTGTTATCTGAGCTTCAAATCAAAATTAAAACTGCTTGGAGTGGCTGTGTTCTCTATAGTTTTAAAATCTGAAAGACCTACTATTTTTGATACACAAAAAAACTGTTTGTTGTAACACTGGTTGTTACCATGCTAGTCAGTAATAATAATAACTTTTGTATTCATTATTGGGCCAAGTGTTCGTTATGAAGCAAATATAGAAGTTATGATATGAAGACTAATATAACAGCATGTGACTGATGCAAGTTACAGGAAACAGTACAGAAAGTGGTAACTTTACATTCTCAGGCCTTTAACATACCATATCATATTTTTACATTCTCAGACCTTTAACATACCATGGGTCTGAGAATGTAAAAATATGATTTAACATACCATATCATATTTTTACATTCTCAGACCTTTAACATACCATATCATATTTTTACATTCTCAGGCCTTTAACATACCATATCATATTTTT